TAAACAATCTCTCTTTCAGTAAAGGTGTACCTTTTCAATAGCAGCTAGAGACATCCTCAATCTTTTTCTGCAGTCACTGGCCGGCTGACCGATGTTTGGAGATTCCTTTGAGAATTGTACGCTCTTAATTAGCTGCAGACAAAGGACCAACCACTCTGATTGAGAGCTGGGACTCTTTTCAATAGTAGCCAGGTAGGTACATCCTCGATCTTTTTCTGTAATCACCGTCCAGCTGACCTGTGCTGGGAGTTTTCTTTGTGAACACAATGGCACACACTGCAATCTTCACCAGTTTCAGGGCAAGGATCACTCTCTGACTGAGAAGTAGAAACAACATTTGATAGGAAGCACAGAGCTGATAGAGAAGGCAACCTCTGGTTGCAGAGAGAAGTAGAAACACTCAACTCTCATAACAAGCAGTGACAGGTATAAAGAGAGAGAGAGAGAGAGAGAGAGAGAGAGAGAGAGAGAGAGAGAGAGAGAGAGAGAGAGAGAGCATCATGATTGTCCATTTCCAATAAAACAAAAGGAGCTAGTTCAGCTTCAGCAAAGCCTGCTTGTAGTGGAAATAAAGGGTCTCATGATCCCCTGTACAGCTTTGCATGCAGGGGTTTGACAAGCTGTAGAGAATGAATCTTTGACAAAAAATTGAGGGTGCTTTCCCTCAATTTGTCAAAGATCAATTCTCTACAGCTCGTCAAACTCGTGCATGCCAAGCTGGCTCAATTTGTCAAAAAGATCAATTCTCTGCATGCAGGATCTTTGACAAATTGAGGGTGCGATCCAAGAAATGATATTTTTGTCAATTTTTTGACAAATTGAACACTCTGCTATGGGGTCCCACTTACGCGTTTTTATTCGAACACCACCACCAGATGGCTTCCCTCTGGTGGTGTTCAAATAAAAAGTTGTTAAAAGCACGAATTGTTTTTTATGTGAGAACAGTGAACACACCACCAGATGGTTTTTATCTGTACACTGTCGTTCGAATGCCACTTTACGGTTGTAGCTTAAACACAGCTGTCGCCCCCAGTATAGCTGTACACTGCTGGACAACAACTGTACAATATATAGGCTATACTAGCCGGAACCCCCGGGTCGCCCTGTTTTCTCGGGAGGCCTGGCCGTCCAAGGATCAGGGAAGTTCCCAGCAAAATAAATAAAAATCCAAAAAAGTCAAAAAAACGCGAAAACAAACTAAATGTTATGCAGAAAAATAAACTGAACAACTTTCGCCTCAGGGTCGCAGCGAAATTCTTTACCAAATTTAAAATGTATTTCTTTTTTCTTTCGTTTTGGCCCAGCTGGGCGACGGGTCCCATTCCATCTCTCTGATGCTCAGCAAGGCATCGTCACAGCACTTTGGCACTGACCACACCAAAGTGTGTCATTCTCACTCATGTATGCTCAGCTCTTCCAGCACTCTGCTATAAAAGGGCCATACGCACACTAGGACTGTCCACTTCTCTCTGGAAGGTAGGGGTGCCAATGGGGAAGAGCACGAGCCCGTCACTCACATGCATCATGTGTGCATTTGCGGAGAGGGGGGTTTTGAGCGCTTTGGGCGGCGACCGCCGCCTAGCGACAGGGATTCGACTAGTTGACAACGTCTCCCTGTTCATAGCCAACAAGAAGGGCTGCTCGGGGTCTTTGATAAACGCAAAAAAGATCAGGGACGATTTCGAGTGCTGCTACCCAAAGAACCTTACACTGAAGAGGACTGACGAGGACTGACGATGGGGATGGAAGTTGGGATTTCCTAGGTTGTGAGTTGAAGGTGCGACAGTTTAATCCTTTATTGGGGTGTTTGCAGAAGGTTAAGAATGAGGGGACAATCCGGTCAAAGAGGCCGATTGTGATCAGAAATGGACAGGACTTTCAGTCCTGGACGAGCCGCAGGCAGAAAGTGGCCGCGGTGGCAGTTTTTTTTCACAGACTGGACCAGAACACGACTGAACGAAGCCAGATACCGGTACAGGTCCTGGTAGCCTGGCACAAATGTCCGGCAAAGGGTTTTCCCGATACCTTTTTCCAGAAGGTCCTCAACGGGTTCGCGATGAGAAAAGACGGTGTCTGGAAATTGACGGTGTCTGGAAATTGACGGTAGCTGAAATCGCCGTAGCTTTTTAGGAATACTGGTGCGGTTCAACGTAGCTTGTCGCACAGGAAGGTTTCTAGTATTGTAGAATGAATGTGGCTGCATGTTTGATAGAGTTTCATTCAACAGTCTTTTTCCTTTTGTTATTGTCGTGTCTTTTGCTATCGTTCGTTCGTGTAACTACTCTTGACTGGATGCGTTGTGCGTAATCGGGAAGTTGATGTCAGTTGGTTACCCCCCAAGATGGAAACGGACTTGCAAAGGAAATCGGGCAAACGTGCCGAGAGCCCAAGGGACATCTGAACGAGAGAGGAACAACAGCAGACACAGTAGGCCGCATGTGAACACCGCCACAGGATGCTCTCGATGAACATTCACCAAATATTCAGTCATGGATAGCACCGCCAGAAGCAGGCAAAGAACATCGGAGAATAAAGCGACTGAAACCCAGAGGGAAGAGGGGATAGCTCACCTTCCCGCTCACAGTGATAGGAGAGGGGAGCAGAGGGACAAAGGCAGAGGCGGGGGAAGGATGGGGGGGACCAGTGGGGATAACTGCAGACAAACACTGCACAGTGCACACGATTACATGAAGCTCAGGCAGAGAGTGGAGGGAGAGAGTGCACAGAGCAATTACTGCATTCAGAGAATGACTGGAACCAGGGCTGGGCCGGCGACCGGCCGGTCGGGCTGACCCGGTCCAACCGGGACCAGACCGGCCGAAGGGGGGTCAACCGGAAAACCGGATGGCCCAAAAAAATGGCCAATTTTTTTTTTTTTTTTTTTTTTTTT